TATTCTAATGTATAATAAAGTTTTATATAAGTTTTGGTTTCATCGTCATCGTCAGCCTATAAGTGCCCACTGTTAAGCAAAGGCCTCTTCTAGTTTTGGTTATTCAATCTATAATACTAGGTTTACTACTTGCTTTTGCCCGCGACTTCGTTCGCGTGGAATAGTGACTTCCTGCAGATTTTAGGTATAACAACTGTCCTATGTCCTTTCTCGAGTTCCAAACTATGACTGTACCAAATTTCAAAGAAATCGGTTCATCAGTTAGGCGTAAAGAAAAGACAGACAGAGAGGATTATTTTTGAATTTATAATACAATAGTTTGGATGAAGCTGAAGAGTTTGTTTGTTTGTTAGAGCGCGCTTATCTTCGAAACCACTGGTCCGAATTGAACAATTCTTCCTGTGTTGTGTAGTACATTTATTGAGGAAGGAGTCAAATACGACAGCCGGGGTTGCGGGGTTAAGTGCAATAAGGCACTGCGGCCTCGGCCCAGAGAGTCAGTAAGAGTGTAACACTCTCTCTCGCCTTACCCTGGGCGGGAAAAGTTGTTTGATTGTTTAAGGAGGAAGGAGCCAAATACGAGTCCGGAAGGAACTCGGCGCAAAACTTGAAAAACATACAATCTTAAAAATAGGCGATTATCATTTTCGTCAGTTAGGCTCGCGACTTTATTTAACTAAAGAATTTTTTAAAGATTTATAGGAAAGTAATGGACCTTAACGTTTATGATACTCACCAGTTACAAGCGCATTTTAAAACAATAAAAGCCTAGATGGGTACCCAAAGAAAGAAATACTAGTGGTTGTAGTGTTCAGGCACATCATATTAATAAAGTCAAAGCCAAAGTCAAAATCATTTATTCCAACTAAACCATAAAAAGGTACTTTAGAAACGTCAAAATAGAGAATTAGTCTGTCAGTGAAGCTAGGTGCTCATTCCAAATTGTAGATTCGAATGGAGAAGAACGAGCAAGAAACTCCATTCGTTACTCTTTAAAAAAAATGTTTTCATCATCATCATCATCATCATCAGCCTATAAGTGCCCACTGCTGAGCAAAGGCCTCTTCTCACGCGGAGAAGGTTTGAGCATTAATCACCACGCTTGCTCTTGCGTTTGCTAAAAAAATGTTTTACCATTTCAATAATATAACATTTATAGTATACATTATTGAAACAACAAGCTTGCATTCTAATGACAGACTGACGTTTTTCCATGACTATTATATCTCTGTTTGAGAAAATTTGCTTCTTCGTTGGATCATAAAGTCTGCCTTTAATGTTATCAGGATATCTAAGGAGTATACACTTAATGGACTATCCACCATCGGCCTATAATTTAATAAACTAGACTAGTACTAAATTAGTCTAATCACTAAACTAACAAAACATTTCTAAAATTACGTAATTAAAATGACAAATTCTCTAGATAATCCAATGTCTCATTACATACATACAGCATTATATATAGGGATATGTCTGCTTATATTGTATTCATTTACTGATTAGAGAACATAATTATCACTGATTCATGCATTTTTATCATTAAAATTATACTTATACTAATTTTTCCTTAGGGTTTGCTCGCTGTTTAGTGATTTCCTTTCAATCGTTAGTCATTATCTTCCTTCGTTGTATTAGTGTTTATGACACGCTTTTTCGTTTTAACTTACAAAACAATACAAATCACATTTTATTTTAAAACAAAACAATTATTTTATAATAATTATTATTTAAAATAACAAAACAATATAACAATACAAAACAATACAACTCACATTTTATTTTAAAACAAAATAATTATTTTATAATAATTATTATTTAAAATAAATAAAATGTGAGTTGTATTGTTTTGTATTATTTTGTATTATTATATAATTATTTTAAAATAATAATTTTATCATAGCTTTTTTATATACTGCTAAAAGTTAATACTGTGTTGCCAAACTTAATTAGTATATTTAGTCACAACTAGTTAAGTGATCTCTAAATCAATTTAGTATGTTGAAATAAATAATGTACTCGTAAAAATGACTCTTAATCCGCAAATTTTAGGTACTTAATTATTGGTTTATAATCTATTTATTTCAACTTTTAAGTACATAAAATGACGTTTGATGGCACATAAGGTTAATGCCATATAATATTCTCTACCAGTCAATCCTTAGGATCCTAAAATAATAGATTTCTGCTAAAAAACGGAGAGTTACCTTATAATAATAATAATATATATCTAAGTGAACAATGTTTTTTAGAAATCTCCTCAACTCCTCAAGCTAAACTCGGGAATAAGTATTCAAACATACAAAATATTCCAAAGATGACCACAAACGAACAAACACGCCTTCTAATATCTAAGTACTAGACACACTCATAGCGAAGATAAGATAAAATTATATTTGCAGAGATGGTTAATAAAAAACGTAAAGCATCTACTTAGTAATGGTCAGTGCGTTGTGCGTGAAACGGACCGTTTTTGTCCGTGCAATAATAATTGATAATATAGATAAATAATTATTTTTTAGATAAAAGTGTTTTTATTATTCATTTTGCTTTCGCATATCCACGTGTTTTCACCTAAGGTAAATTTGATTTCGGAATTGAAGTCATGTGAATAATTGTTTTAAGTGTGTTTTTAGATTGAAGTGTTTTTTTTATATTTCTGTAGTGAATTGTGTATTTTCTTGGAGCATATTTATAGGTATATGTGGTAAAACCTAAATGACCTTACTATAAGGTTCCTCATCTTATCCTTAGAAGAGTTAAGCGTTTGTTGTAATGATATCTTCTTAATTAGACATCCACTGAACGAAGGCCTTCGTCTTGCCATGCCATGATTTGCCCAAGCGAAAGTCTTCATGAACGTATTGTATTTTAACTAGATTTTTCAATAAATTGATTGTATGATTTTAAATTAGGTATTCATAGCATCATCACCTGGGAAAGGCATTTTCACCCAATACCCTATTTTTTATTTATAGTTCCATAGTATTATTTTTATCTCCAAACGGCTTTCCATCTCATTACTGCAAACGTAGGTATGTAGAGAAGTACCGCAAAATATACAAAAGATGTTTTATCAATTCTGTTAATTTGTTAGGAGAATCATTTCTTGCTGAGGGGACGGTCTTATTACTCTTATTATACTTAATGGCTTCAGGAGTCATGCCTCGGCCGCATAGAAAACCGGAGTGAGACAAACCTTACGTTATGTTTTGTAGTGAGAGTCAGGTTCCGGAAGACCCAATCCTTCCACTATACTCGAACCCCCCCTTAAACTGAACTCTTCTTATCCCCGAAAGAGTTTAAGGCCCACTGCTTACAATCAGGTGATTCGCCTGGTCGTTTGCCGAAAATAATAATAATTACAGGAAAAAAATGTTGATAAATAATAATGTTTTTTTTAGAATATCCGTTTTTAATAAGTAATTAATCTAATTGAACAACTGTTCGACATTGAGATTGTATTTTAATGAGCTCATTGATTAAATATAAAAATATTGCTAATACTTTTATCTAGCTTGTCAATCAAAGGATCGCGAATGGGCGCTAGGTACCTAATTAATTTTCATTTTTACCGGCGACCCACCGCCGCTTCGGACGAATGCAATGCTGATACCAAAATTTCTCCTAAATTTTATGCATGTTTTAAACATACCTACTATAAACCTTCTTCTTCAAACACTCTATTTATTAAAAAAAAAACACATTATAAACGTTGCGTAGTTTTAAACATGAAAGCAAAATGATAGAGAAAACGCCTCTGTATTAGGTACCAATACTATTGTAGTGATTAATGGTACAGAAAACCTACCACAAACATGATGAAAAAACATTAATTTGTATAACTTTGCATCAATTAAATTGCAACACACACCATAGCGCTATCCACATAGATAGACAAAATTAATTTTGCACAGCTCTCACACAAACCTTCTAGTCCAAAATCAAAGAAACTACCTACTAAATAGATTTAAAAAAAACTTAATTGAGCCTTATTTCTCGATAACCAAGGACGATGAACATCGGCATCTTATAGGTGCCTACCTACTTAAGATAAAAATGAATCGGTAAGCGCACAACTTAAAAACTCGTGGATCAATTTTGCCAATTCTTGTAAGTATTGTTGCGATCTTTATTGCCAAGAAAAAGTTTTAAGAAAGATAAAATTATAAAAAAAGGGTAAATTTCTAAATCTCAACCGGTTTGATGCCCATGTGCAGGAGGGGTCGTCGACTAGTTAGGTACCTAATAATGAAACAACTTTTCTAGACTTTGCACCTTGTCAAATTTGTTCTAAGATTAACGCAAAATATTTGACTTGTAAAATATGTAGGTATAAAATGTGTTAGTCATTTATGTGTTTAGTATAATCTAAGGCTACGTTATCGCTCTATACTATACCTTCTATGATTTCATAATTCAGCTCATCTTGATAAGTTTTTCTTGGCCAAACATAGGCGTGGTCTTGTCTTCTTTCAACTTTTATCTTTTTGAGTTTTTCTTGTTTTTCTTAAAGAACATCTAGGTGTGGCGTGTGTCTTTTATTTTTTTTTTCTGGTCAAAATCTTTTAAATTTTGGTTTCCGTACTTCATTATATTTATGTTGTTAATGGAATGTGTAAGACATGTAATTCGTGTCCAGATCAAAATAATGAAACTAACTATTTACCTACTTAATTCAAAAACTAAATTAATTAGGCGAGTAATGAAGTTTTTGTATTTTTTTCACTAATGGGACTGTAAACCGATTTATTTAAACTTTACCACTTTAGAACCGAATCCAATATTGAATCAATTAAACACAGCAAAAGAAGAATACGAAAACTTGGAGGAGAAAAATATCTATATACATATATTAATTCGAACACAACCCGCAATTAAAATTTATCGCTTTATTTTTAAATCACTTAAATAATAAGAAATACGACCAAAACATCGACACGTTCACAAAATAAATATAAAAAAGAAACTCTAAAAAATACGCCATCTTGTTTTCTTAGCATTAATAATGGAGTGTGAGAAATATTGTTAAAAATGTCGGACAGTGTCGAGGACCTAGCGAGACGGTACAGACAAAATGTACTACTACAGGAACATCCGCGAAGCATAGGTTAGTATTACCTAAATTGTTGGTAGGCTTTTCATCAACAAAAATATACATATAAAAGTGATAATAGAAATAAAAATACTAGATATAAATTATTTATTTAAAAAAATCTGACTTGACCTTAACATTTTCCCTGTTGGTTGCATTTTTGCTTGTCCGTGTGGGAATCAATACCACGATGAACTAAACGCAGTCGATTGCAAAAAAAAAACTGCGGTCATATAATCGGAAGATCTTGATTACTAACATTGTTCAGAATTCTTTTTCTAATCGCCCCATTTTGCCTTGTAAAGGAAGGATAGAATGAACAATAATAGACAAGTAATGAATCAAGTATTTCCCAACCGCTGAAACTGTTTCGCAACCGCTGAAAGTGTAGCAAAACCTTCACTTTTGTATATCAATGCTGATTGGTCAAGTAATTGCATTATCGATATTTTTATTGGCTAAGCACGTTACACCAGTGCATGTTACAATAAATTTGAATCATAGGTACCAAAATACTTCTTCGTATTTTATTTTGTTTTGAATGAGTTTGTAACTTTAGACAAGTTTTGTTTTTTAAGTCTCTCTTTAATTTAATCCTGTAGGTTTTACAAACACATATTGTAATTCACCTATGCTTTGTATTTGAGGTGATGTATTTATATAGAAAATTGAGATATTTATTTAGGAATATTCCTTCTTTATTTATCTAGGTATATTATTTCAATTTAGAACACTATATTAAAAAAATAAATGGTTAGCTATAGTAGCTATCTTGCCTCAAAGAGCCACAGATGGGGCCCAACAAGGCCGATCTTCAGATGTGGTTGCGCGGTGAAGCGCAATAAGGTAGGTACTGCGTGCTGGACCAGAAGAAGGAACGAAGGTTTAGTCAGTAAGAGGCTAACAATCTCTTTCGCCATGCACTTGGCGATAAGACATTTGATGATGAAGAGAGACAGATGATAAGCCTCAATCTAATAGAAGCTGTCCCTGGACGAAATCTTGTGATTTTCAGCACTTTTTAACTTTGCCACTACAAAACCCTACCTAAACATATTCCCATCAAAATACCTTAAACATTACGAGTAATATTAACGAAAAATTCTTTCCTCTTTTTAGGGTTGTTCACGATACCGGAGTACCCAGAATTGGAAGCCAACCGAGGCATGTGGTCTGTCGCCTTGGACGCTATATTGACGACGCTGCGGTACCTCGCGCCTGCTACTCTACTCACTCTCTTCTGGGGCCAACAAAGCTTTCTGTTCAGAATTTTGAAGCACATCGACTCCGCTTTTAGAGCAAGTAAGTATGTTTTGTAGGTATTAACTTACGAAGGTCGTTTAAAGTAATTCTTTAAATAATCAAAGGGTTTATCAGCCCTATATCAAAGATATAAAATTAAAATTCTGTTACCGACGACTCACAAATTTAAGTACAGATTCCACTTGACTCTAGTACCTATTTGCATTGTTTAATTCTATTCGTTTTCATTATACCTTTCTTTGTGAGGGGAAAATCATCAAATGACTTCTCCGCCCACGGTAAGGCGGGAGGGAGCGTCAGACTCTTACTATCTAAACCCCCCACCCCCCGTTCCTACTCCTGCTCTGGGCCGAGATCGCGGTGCATTATTGCGCTTGCCCCGCAACCGCGGCTGAATGTCAGCCCTATAGGGCCCCGTCTGTGGTGGTCTATTGGCTCTTTGAGGCGAACGCTACGCGACATACGCACGGGATACCTTGTTGTTCTACATTTTTCGAATTGATTACAAAAGAAGATGGCGCATCCATACTTTGTTGGAAAAGTATAAGTTGCTAACGTAAATCACAACCAATTAAAAGACATCGTTACCGCGATCTGTTCTTAAACTCAAGGCCTTTGCAGTGTCACGGATAAAATATTTCCTTACCGTCATAATAAAACAAATACAATTCGCACGGACAGCTATCGCTTTATGGCCCATTGTGGCAGTGTTCGGAATACAAGTCGTGGAAACATTTCTCAGAGTGCTGAAGAGAAAAAAAGTGAATAAGTAGCTACCAAGTGTTTATTTATTGTCCAAAGAATTTAGTACGGAGTTTTATCGTGACCTAGTATCTTTTTGAAAGTGAAATTTTAAGGAAAGAGCCCAATGAGAGTCTTTTATTGTAGCTTATCATTACATTCTTTGGTGATTTGAATGACGAAAATGAGCTGAAGTGTGTTTGTGAAGATTCATATAAAAGCAAAGTTTTGTAATGGCTATTTAGGCTTTTCTACTTTTAGTCTACTACTGTACAAGTGGCATGTGCTAAGATCTAAAACATTATCGATAGGTATCGATGTTAGATGATGTCGATGTTCCGACACTCAATTATAAATAAATCATAATAAAACATGAAACTAATTGACTTCCCCATTAATCTTCATTCACGCAGCTCATTAATCCGCTAATCTTCCAATGTGGATTAATCTTAAAAATGGTCAGTTTCACCGTCATCCATCACTTTCATTGTACTTGATATTCGTGCACTTACTAATTCACACACACGTTAACCTTTGAGTTCATCGTTATCTAGTGAACATAATTATTGTTTGCTAGGGTTCCGTATGCAAAGCGTAGGTACAAACGGGGCCCTATCACTTGCACTCAAAATGATGGCAAAATTAACGGAAAATCTAATATTTTTGTAAATTGTCACTCGATCTGGACGTACGATCAAAAGACGCGTCTAGCCACGAGGTTCGACACCTCGTGAATATCCCTCTGGTCCTCTGGTCTGGTCTGGAATATCCCTGGGTCCTTTACCTGAAAAATGTTTAGTCGTAACCACTTACCACTCAGACCATGATGGCTGGGCAACCGAGTGCCTATATTGCTGGTGGTAGTTTAATTAATAATATAAAAGATTAACAATTATAGAAAAAGACGATTCAAATGCCTAATTTGATGAGCAAACACGACAAACAAAAGACTACAAATAGAAAAAAAACCAAAACAAATATTAAAGTTCGGCTCCCATAGACACAATGAACGCGTTTCTATGCCCATTTTTTATGCATGATAGTAGCATAAAACCTTTTTAGTCAAGTCCAACTCGCACTTCACCTCTCTTTTTAACCGACTTCATATAACATAATTTCTCTGAGTTTATAACCAGTTTCTGTCCAAATCTTCACACTGTCAAATAAATAACAACTTTCGGCATTTTTCGAGTTAAAACGTTGTGATTTTGAAAGATAACGAACACTTTTGCAACTCTGGTTGTTATAAAAAGTAGTTGCTTTTTAATTTTTGCTTCAGTTCTTTGTTGGTTTTTGACACTCGTTCTTGATGACAGAGGTTCACGGATATTTTTTTAGATCCATAGGTGGGTAGTGTGAGTTGTGTGTAGTGTATTTATAGTGTTGTGTACTTGTGTTCTTTATACGTTAAAAACTAAGTAGGTAGGTATCTATTGTTTTCCTTAGATACGTTTTGAATTCGAAATTTTGAAAAATTGGTTAAGTGTTTAAGTAGTTTTGTTCGGAATTTAAAAGCAAATATTTTTTGTTTTCCATTAAGAACAAAGCCAATTACAAACTTATTTTTTTCCTATTTAATTGAAAGAACAAGTGACGCGATGTCATTGTTTTACAATTTAAAACTGTCAAGTTTCTTTCATTGAAATACAATTAAAACATCAATAATGAAGTTTGCGTGTAGCGATTTCTGTGGCCCGATTTCCTTACAATACTTGCCTTAATTTATTTATAAATAATTTCATAACTTTATTGAGAAAGAAAATACAACATGCAACATTGAGTAAGGTTAGGTACCTACATTAATAAATACTTATATATTTACGATTCTGTAATTTCATGGTTCATTGCTTCCTAGGTTGCTAATAACGTTCAGTTGAAGAAATCACGAGTGAACTAACATTGAAAAATCTTAGGTAGATACATGAATGCTATAAGTACCTACCTAATTAAATAAGTATGTATGAACGCTCTGTTGTTCTTGCGCCAGCCTACCGTCATGGACCAATGAGGTGGCTTGATTTTTATTCCTGTGGATCTAATGGAGAGTCTACAACTGATGAATCCACCAAGTGCACCACGGACTAACCGTTTAAGAGGCTTTGGTACTCTTAATATTTTACCTACTTTGATCGGAAATGTAGGAGAGCCATCAGCACGAATGGGCTAGCTCGACCGTAGTAATACTTAAAGAAATCCTCATTTTTATTAAGTACCTAAATAACAAAAAAACGTTAACACAATTTTATACTCCCTATTCAAAGTACAAAGAATAGCAGACAAAGATGCGAATATTTTGGCACTTTCTCAGAAGGATCAATATTTCTTTTCCAGTAGTATTCTCGAGCGAGGAGCAAAAGCAATCAGTTCTACGATGGCTGGCAGAAGCTGGTCCCGTCAGAGTGGAGCACTTGGACACAGTGTGGCGGCACGGCTGGGTGCTATGCGGTGTGCTAGACGCGGCCCTGCCCGGCGCCTGCGCAGGGCATCCTCCCACCCGCCTGTCTCTTAAACATGCACAAGCTATCGCCGACCATTACCTTGGTGTTGAACCTGTGAGTTTGTTTTCAGCATTTTTTGCAATGAACTTAATTTTGTTGCATTGTTCTATTGTCTTAGTCAGGCGTGGTTGCCCTTGTGATAATGTTAAAGTAAAAAATTCAATCTAAGACTATGTTTATTTAAGATATTTATTTTAATTTAAAGGTCCGAACTTATTTAAAATGTTATTTTTCCAGGTTTTCTCCCGTCAAGAGTTGGAGTCAAACGATTCGCTAAGCAGACACCAAGAATGGAAGCTCGCCACGTACTTAGACCGTATTCGAGAAGCACTTTCCAAATTAACGCCACCTGTTTCAAAACCAGTCTCTCAAAGAACCTCTCCAGAAACCACACAGTTCACTCTTGACTACGTTGCAAAAGGATCTGGGTTATCAGCAGCTCAAGTAAATAATAAAGCTAGTTTCAAAGTATATCCAACGGCACAACAGGCGTTGGACCCCGGAGAAATAACGATCCTAATACGAGGACCTAGAGACACTTATGGCATGACTGTACTACCGCCTATCCTGGGCAAAGCACAGATGATCAGACAAAAACTCTTGGGCCTACAATCAAAACAGAACTTCACTGAAAACGTTTTGCCAATAACACAAGGAGCGACATACTTACGATCGTACGGCAAAAACGATATGAACAAAACATATTACATACCGAAAACGAAGTATGATATTGAAATCGATGTCGAAACACGAACAGATCACGCGAAAATAAGTTACGTCGTAAACCTTGAAGGAAAATATTTAATTTCTATAACAAGCAGAGGCCAAAGCATTGTTGGTTCACCATTCACGATAACAGCCTCGCATAACATCATCAACACACTAGAAAAAGACAACTACTGTTTAGAAGACGGTGAAGAAATAGATATAGTTGACGTCAAAACTGACAGAAAAGTTGTACTACGTATAGTCGATTTTGTTACTGAGAAAATGTTGTTGAAAGAAAATGGTACTTTAGAGAAAATAAGTGACGATGAAGCAAGGATTCTAATGACAACTGACACAGAAAATGATATGCCAAATTACAGCACTGAGAGCTGTTCTGATGTCGAGACCAGTTCAGAGTCAACAGTCGTCAAAACTTTGAGCTTCAATAAAGTCGCATCTAAAATCTTAGCAATGAACAGGGTTTGCAAAGTTCTGAATGATCTTAAATCAGAAAAACAATTAGAATTTACAAAGAAAGAAAGTTACCTTAGAGCAAGGAGCAAACAAGAAATACCTGATATTGTAAATTCTACCTTAACAGAAACAAAAGCAAAACCTTTCATAATACCAGAACTGCGAGAAAAATATATTGTTCCAGAAAGTATTTCAGTATCTTTGAGGGCGGAGAAATCAACTACCTCCTACGATACTGACCGACATAACATAAGAACTGATAGTGAAGAACTGATAGTAAATATACCCACGGAATCTACTAGAATAGATACTCCTGATAGTTTGGATGGATACACTGAGACACATGAAGATCAAATTGATAACTTATCTGATCGAATGACGCCATCAACTACAAACAATCCTTTCTTGAACGACATGTTCGAAGAAAACTACGTTGCTTCCAAAAATTTAGGACCGTTTGTAGCTTCAGAATATGAACGAAACAACTCGCAAAATGAGGAAACCAGGGATAGTTCAATTACAATTCTGATTGATCCTAACATGACACCGTCACCAGCCAATAATAATCCATTTATTGATATTGAGGATGTAGGTTATATCAAACCTGAATCTATTTTATTAGAACGGCCTAAAACACCAGTCTTAAAAATAATTTCAGGAGAGAAAGTTGATCGCGAAGAGTCTGTATATATTGATCCAAAAGCTGAATTAATGGCTGAGGAAGCACTGGGCAACGAATTTGTAAATCCTTTCTTCATGCATCACCAATCAGGTCATTTTGAACAGCCAAAACCAATGACTGACTTTATCATTGGGGCCCCAGTTTCTTTACCACCCATCATAAGAGCTCGATCGCCAGAACCAGAAATAAAACCGCTGATACTCCCAGGCACTGACAAAAGAAAGGGTGTGAAAAATAAGAAAATACAAGATAACAAAACTGAAGAGACCCGTACAGAACCAGTTATACCACAAACTGATTTGCACCTACCAAAAGATGTCAAAAATGAAAACATTTCTGAAGATAATTCCACCTTTCATAGTTTAGAATCTAACTTGACTATTGACAATTCTAATGCGTCAACAACAAGCGACAATCAATATGAACCATATCAAATTGACTTAAGCAGAAATCCATCGCCCAGGAAAGATATATGGGATTCTGCATACGTAAGTATCGATGACAATAACAGCTCTCCAGATAGCAATAATAACGAAAATAATATACAATGCGAGTCACTTAGTAAACCAAAGTTTTCTCCTAGTGACGATAAACTTGGTTTAAATCAGGAAGATCTGTCGAACATGGGACCAGCTGAAAGAGAAATTTGGCAAACATGCAACGAATTGAAAATCGAACCCACCAAAGTTCAGGAAGAACCGAAACCTTACAAGTGGGAAATTAAACGACCGACGTTCACACCCATCATTGAAGAGAGCGACAGGAGTATATCATCGGGCACCAAAGATATTCCAAGAAACGAAAGGTGCACGAAGCAGGGAGATAGTGACAGTGTGTCGGTGGCATTTGCTGAACTGAATGATATGTACCAAGAATACTTTCCTAATTCAGAAACTAGTTCTACTGCCACTGTGGATGAAAATAATAAGATTCACAGTACAGAAGTAGAATACGTTACACACACCATGGACGCTAGTGTCGATTCTGCATCTGATGCAACAGATGTGAAAAGACACGCAGAGGAATTAGAAGGAACGATTTCTGAGGTTCAGGCAAATGCCACTGAATCTGTTTCAGTAAGTCAACCCCTTCGCATTGAAAATGACAAAATCTTTGAACAGAAGAAGGAAAATAAAGATGAAACACAATTTGGTGAAGTGACGTACAGTAACATAGTACTTGAAAAGAAAAAATACTGGGATGAGAAAATTCGCCAAATAGAGGCTAAGTCAGCAGAGACTTCAATACAGCCAAAGAGAAAACGTATTTCTGCGAAACAATTAAAACATGATTCTTTAAGTAAGCGAAAGGGTAAACAGATTCTTAAAAACTTCCTAAACTCAGGTGATTATAGTCAAGTAAAAAATATAAATCAAACTGAAGATAAACATATAGAAATGAAACTACAAGAACCTAACGAACAAAAATCACAAGACGAAGTTAATACAAATGAAAAGCTAGTAGAAAGATGGAAGAAATATTGGGATGAAAAGTTAGAAACAGATCAAGTACAAGTTGAAGCTTCTGCTTTAATAACGAAATCTCCTAGTAATAAAGTACGAACATTAAGCTCATCTTCCACTTCTAATAAAAATGAAAACCCTGTTGAAGTAAAAGTGGAAGCAACAAAATACCACAACAACGTATTACTTTCTGAAGAACATGCGCCCGTGAAACAAGAATTGCCAGAAGAAGTATTTAAAGCATTCGAAACAAGTCCAAAGAGATTTTTCGGAACGTCAAGGAAGCAAATATTAAACAAAATTGACACATTCTTAGGAAAACCGAGCGCTGATGACATTCCTACCACGGACGTTACTGGTGGAGAGTGTCATGAGAGCGGTCTAGTGTCTAGTCGAATATCTTTGTTTCACAATTTGTCTAATACAGAACCTTTACCTTGGGCGAGAAGAAAAAGCCAATCTTTACAAAATGTAAGTCAAAGACTAGGTAGCAATCAAAACATTGTATCTTCCGAAGAAAATCTACACGTGGAACTAATTAAACGTCCCAATACTGAAACTTTAGAAGACAGGATCAACGAAGCCACCAATTACAGTATTAAAGAATCTGCAAATTTGAAAAACAAACGAGCTCGAATGGTTCATAGTTCATTTAATAAAACTTTAGATGAAACAATTTATATAGAGCCTGTACAAGAACAGTTTGTAACTTCGACGCCAAATCAAAAAGAAACTGCAAGAAAGTCAATACAAAACGTACACAAAGAATATGAACCAATCCAAACTACAAACGAAGTTCTTCGTAAAAAATCGTTCAGCAAATCAGAAATGGACATATTTAATAAAATTCCAAACGATACGACAGACGATGGTTTGGATAAATACAAGTCATGCGATGAATTGCCTAAGATTAATGTGAAGAGCTTTATATCGCTTTACGAAAGCGTGACAAAGACTGCAACAGCACCAAAACCGGCTAGGAGGGTGTACAGAACTAGTTCTGCTGATTCACAGAAGAATTCTCCATCCCACAGCATAAATTCAGGTTAGCATTCGTATAATATAGTTGAATTTAAAATCAAAGGTAATTGATAAGGTAAAGATTATGATCATGATGATGATAATTCTCTTTTTTTCGCAGATGCTGTGCACAGACATAACGTCGACCTAGGGAGCGTTTCTAGCTGCGGATCAAAAAGAACTACGCCAGGAGCTACACCCACTAATATGTGGACAAGCAGAGATTCAGAAACAGTCAGCAATCTTAGTTTTGACACGAGAACTTCTGGATCTTTTGACGTTGAAGTAATTCCTAATGAAAACAAAAATACCACATATTTAAGTCTTTCTGACATAGAACTAGAAATCATAGAGTGTAATACAGATAAATCAACTGAATCGTCTCCAGAAAGGGAAACCGAGCCAGCCCATCTAGAATACAAAAACAGATTCAAAATGGCAAAAGAATTTTTTCAATCAATTGAAGAGCTAAGGGAAGTTAAGAAGCCTAGAAAACTAAATGAATGTGAACAACTTTTACGTAAGCAATCGACAGAATCCGTTGAGAACGATCGCCCTCAAAAGAGGGTGAAGAAGAACATTAAATCTCACTCCATGCCCTCATCCGAGATATCGAAGATCTGGAATGAACTACAAGAAAACCGGGAGAGCTCTTCAAACACGAAACTAGTGAAAATATCAGAAAAGTTTAACGTGGAAGATTTGTTTACAGATGTGACTGAAGGGAAACTGAGTAGGCAAGGGAGTTTGAGAGGAATACCTCACAAGAAAGCAGTACTAGAAGCATTCAGATCTATGGAAAACGTAGCTGATACATCGATAAACTCATACGAGATTTCCGAATCACAGATAACGGATTTCGCTAAAGAACACCCGGTGAGAAATGCACAGACTTACCTGAGCGAATATCCATATTTGCCGACAACAGATCCATCGAAATATCATTCAAGGCTGGACGTGAAAGCATCTGGGCTCATCTCATTGAAAGAGTTGAAGCAACGAAAACCGCGAAGGAACAGTGTGCCTGATCTTAGATTAAATCCTAAATTTACAGTTGACCTTTAGTTAAGTGCTTTAATCTTTTGAACATAAGGTTCAATTTGTGTTACTGTTATGATTTCTATATCAAATTGTGCATGAAGGTTTTACATTGAGTAACATTGAAACTACTATATCTATAGCTGTTTCCTTTAATTACATAGAACTATTTTAAATCTCGAGCAATTTATTAACTTAAAGAAATGTCTGAGAGTTCATTTTACAAAATACAAGTTGTTACTATAATTTCTTACTGCAGCAACGTAAATTGAACCTTAAAGCCAATATTTTGTATTAAGAATTATCATTTTTCCATTTTCATAGTCATCTAACGAGCATAGTCATAATGATAGTAATACCAGTATTTACTAGTACCTTAAGCGTAGTTAATACTCACTTTTTTTTAATATAAGTATATTTTTAAGTCGAAGTTATTTAGAGAGGGCTAGATTTGAACTTCTTTTAGAATCTTTACGTCATATAATTTTCATTTTTTATTTTATGTTCTTCGTCTTAAAGGAGCATCAGATATGATTGAACTGCTAAAAGAATTTGAGTTCTGTATCTTGTGTTTAAGGTTGTATTTTCTAAAAACTTCGTTCTCGTTTATTTTTAATTGGTTAGCTTTATCGATTTGTACAATTTTGTACAGTAATTGAATCTAATTATCTAAGTTTTAAGATTTTACTGTAACTATTTATTCTACATTAAATAAAAATTACAATTCTTTCGTCTTCTCATTTAAGTGTTTTTCTGACTAAGCTTACTGACTTTAGCGACTTTACCTTGACCCTACTAACTGACATATAGACATTTTCTTCATAAAAACCATACACATTTCAAAGAATGTAAATAAAAGTATCGCTGGATGTTTTAAACGACTACTCTTTCTAATTATTCCGAATTTATATTTCTGTATATCTGATGCAATAGCATTAACTGAATTTTAAATTTAGTGCAATTAAAATAAGGTATAATATCGAGAAAAACAGCCTATGTAGGCAACTTCTTTGGCAGTATTAATACGAAAAAAAAATACTTAATAGGTTTAAAATTTTTATTTGATAAAATAGCTAGCAATATTTACAATGGTTAAAATTTCTCTAAAATGCCATCTTAAAATTAAAATGTGTAGTATTGTTCGATATAGGCGTCGCAAGTAAGTTGGCTCTAACGATTAAAAAAAACAATATAGGGGACTTTCTCATTCACAAAATCATAATACAAAATCGAATACTGTTTTAGTTTGATGGAAAGTAAACAAAAATTATGTAACTAAAGTATTATTAAAATCGGTTATTAAAATAATTACATTAATATAGATTGGCGTGCCGTCCATCTAGCTAACATAATGATAATTGTGAGAGAGATTGACTGAATGAGTGATTAGTAAACACAACTTTATTATCTACACGAAAAGATGCATATTTGATGCGGTGCGTCTCTCGAAGACAGAATCGCTGGACTTTTTGAATACTGTCACGTCGCGTTTCTGTATGAATTGACTCAGACGTGAGTAAAGGGTCTAGTGACGGCAAAATCAAAATTTATACTCTCAAACCTCCGATTCATTATTTGGAACCTTTCCTTACGGGGAACCTTTCCCTTCAAACGGCGCCTAGTTTTTGGGAGAAAAGATAAGGATTGTGGGATTTATACCACACCAAAACCACCCCAGTGACCATCATTATTTGAAACCTATTGACGTACATACTTATATGACAATTTGGGCTATTTTGCTTTGTATGCCTAAACTAATTATACTATATTTACTTAATATGTATCTGTACGTATGTGGAGGCCTGGTCTGCTCTCCGCCATTGTAGCCAGGCGGCTATTTGTGGGTCGTTCCTGTCGCCTCTAGCCTCTAACTGTTGGTAGTACGCCTCGCGTATGATCCGGAACGCGTCTACGCTTCTGTATGGTAATTTCGTTATGGGATCGATGTAGCGAGCTGGTCGTCTGAAAGCAAAATTGTGACTTATTAGCAAAGCAATATGATAGTAATTCCTTTATTACATTTTAAAGTGTGTGGCCTTTCCGAGAGAAATTATTTATAGTTTTAATTTAGATTCTGGGAAAATTGTTATCGAGATCCCCGATTTTGAAACTTCCACAAACATGATAAGTACACAGTCATAATACACAGAACTCATGAATTGCGTATAAAGATACTTGACAACAATTAAAAATTTAAAACTTTATTGATAGAAAGTAACTGTATATTATTGTTATTTTTGCGTAATATATTTTAACTTGAAAACTACAAGTATTAAATCGAAACTAAAGTCTATTTTTCACTGAAAACAAGTAATTTTTAGAGAGCACATATACCGAGATTCGTTTCAAATGAATAAAATTATTTAATCAGTGCTTTTTTTAAATTTTTATTTAAATATATGGACTAGCTGTTGAGAATGTTTATATTGTAATTTCAAGTTACAAATGGGGTCTTATTCATGAGCGTGCGAGTCACGGCAACTGCACAGTCGACTGGCATCGCATCGGCTATTACTAGAGCCGATGCGATGCCAGCTCTTCTCAGTTAACTCACGCCAGTAATTCTTTATTTAAAATAAATTTACTATGTCTCACGATAATATTAACTGCTATTAAAATACTCACTTAGTAACAGCACAAAGCAATTGTCTTGGCTTCTTGACATTCTGCTTTGGGAAACACGACCTAAATGCTTTATCCTTGATATCATTTTCGAATGATAGCAGAGTGCGCTCGTAGTATTTCATGTTCTGTGGTTCCTTCTTCTTCTGTGATTTTTCATCTTTACTGTGAATATAAAAAAATATACTTTTAAGCATTTAATCGAGGTAATTTGATAACAATAGAAGAAAAATAAGTACGCGAACGCCAGTATTCGCTTGGGGTTTGATTAATTAAAATTTCAACCGTAATAATGAACCTTGAACCTTGTCTTAATGGAACCGCTACAGTTGAGCAAGTAGCTAGGTTTAGGTAATTTGGCAAAATATTATTGGCACGCAAAGAAGGTCATCGAGCAATTGACCTTCTTGCACTTCCTGAGGCAGTAAAGGCAGGAGACAGAAGACCATATATCTATTTGATAGATACAGGGAAGCAGTATCTACTCTGATTGGAAACGTTACTAAGACCCCGCGTTACTTTTCCTGGTCTAGGCCGAGGTCGCGGTGCTTCATTGCGGTTACCCCGCACCCCGGCTGAACATCAGCCCTGAAGGGCCCCGCATGGTGGTCTTTACTATGGGGAGGAATTGAAGGGAACATATCTATTACAGAGAACAGGCACTATTTGATAAACAACAACCTGAAACTGCGACCCGCCAGCCGAACGGGGAGATTATCGCAAATCCCCCATGTAAAGAAGGCCCAAGATCCAAAGGTCAAGTTAAGTAACAAACTGTCGTCTGTCCACGTTAGAAACTTACGGCACTTTCTCAATGCTGACTTCCTCGTCAGGTCCTATGAAGTCCACGTCCATCTTGGTTACAGGTTCCGCTGGTTCAGTAGGCTGGTCCGGTTCTTCAGTCTTTACTTCTTGGCCTTCTGAGACACCTGAAATTTGTAAAGTTCAAATACTTGTACTACGTATTAGGTATATCAACATTTTTCAACTAATTTATCAGGATTTTTGTCAAAAAAGGCCAACCCGCAAAGTACACGCAACTCCTCTGGAGTTCCGATGTCCATAGGCTGCGCCAATTGCTTACCATCAGTTAATGAGATAGCAAAATTTGTCACTTTTTGAGTATGAAAAAAAATTACAAACGTGAACATTTTGCTGGTTTACGGGGCTATAACAAAACAACTGATGACCGTCCATTTATCGAGAAAGACTGTAGCCTAAATAAAACCTCGCTTCGACCAATAGGACCCGAGAAGCGGGTGAAAAAAGGTAGTAAGCATTCAAATATGTATTGTTACCTTTTTCGTAAAAAAAACATACCTTGTAATCATTTACTAAAGTAGAATAATATAATAATTAACTTACCATCTTCGTGTTTGATAATATCACTCAAATTCAGGTCTCCTAGTAGGCTAGACTTGTCTTCCGCTGGTGGTATTTCTTCTATTATGGGAACAGCAAATGAATGATACCTAGAACATTTTAATCATTCTAGTGTAAAACAAAGTCACTTTCTCTGTCCCTATATGCATGCTTAAATATTTTAAACTAAGCAAAAGGAATTTGAAGTGATTGGGAGAAGAATCTTTAAATTTCACATCCATTAAATAGAGCAGAAATTTGGTAGCAGCATTGCACACGTGTGGAGGCGGTGCGAGTCGCCAGTATAAGGTATCTTTTGAATAATAACACCAAAAGCTGGTATATTATTTGTATTGCGGGAAAAATGATACTAAATTGTCATAGAACAATAATATCTAAGTAATAAGGGAGCGGTTCTCTAGTCCAAACTAATATTATAAATGCGAAAGTAACTCTGTCTGTCTGTCTGTCTTTTCTTCACGCCTAAAGTACTGAACTGATTTCTGTAAAATTATTAGTTTGGAACTCGAGAAAGGACATAGAATAGTTTTTATACCAAAAATCTGCAGGAAGTCACTATTCTAGTCACTAGTAATTCATAAAACAAAGGCACAAACATTTTCACTACTTCTTGTTTTCTTATTTACGACAATCATGGGAAGGTATTTATGTGAAAAAAGTGGACAAAACTCATGCGAAGCAGGTGCGAGTCACTAGTATTTAATATTTTCCTCTCATACCTTATCGTAGGTCCAGTTATAGTCTTCTTAGTGGGTCGTATCTTTTTCCTCTCTAATTCGATTTGTTCAAATCTCTCTGAAATTAAAGATAGTAAGTTAAGTACTCATTCTGCCCACCAGTTCAATTTAGTAACACTTGGCCACCTGGTCAATAGTATGAAGAAAATGTAAATTGGGAGCCATCTTCCAATTTTCCTTCTACTTTATTGCACCAACCATATTCTCACTGCTGCAATGCTTGTAGGCATTAAGCCCACTCATGTACTTGGTGCATAGAGGAGGAGAGAAGAGCCATGCTTTGGCACGAATGGGTCGGCCTGACCGGAGTGATGCCACGGCCTCACAGAAAACCGGCGTGAAACAACCACAGCGTTGTGTTTCGCCGTTTGAGTGAGGTTGCCGGAGACCCAATCCTTCCCCTCCCCCGATCCCTCCTCAATCCCTAAATCTCCAAATCCCTAATCCCTAAAAGGCCCGCAACGCACTCGTAACTCCTCCGTTGCGGGTGTCCATGGGCGGCGCTGATTGCTTACCATCAGGTAATCGGTCTGCTCGTTTGCCGAACTATTACATAAAAAAAATAAAGTTAAAAAAATGAATTTTTCATCAGCACTAATAGTACTATAATAATACCAATTGTTAGAATACCAAAATGGTCAATCTCCAGAAGGCTGGCTGAATGGTGCAAATTGCCTACCAATTTATCTTGAGGTTAACCTTCAACGCAATTAGCAACCAGCCCATGGAATAAAAAAACACAAATTAAAAAGAGAAAACATATGTATGTTGCCTTCCATAACAGACTTACCCAAACTCTTTAGATTCTCCTTCTCAGTGATCAAAGCTTCTTCAAGCAGTTCTTCTTGAGTGGGCATCCTGTCTTCAACCTTCTTAGGTTTCTTTTTCTTTAATGCAGACCTGATCTTAATTCTTTGGAGTGTTTCTGCTGATTTCACTGCTGTACTTTGCCTTATTGATTTTCGCTCTGGAATTAATTACGAAGACATTATATATGCATGTATTTTTAGCTAGTAAATATATCATTAAAGAGCCATGGCACTCTTATATACCATCACAATCCATATGTATGCCATGGGCCCTCTTGGCCTTAACAAACCAAATTCAAAGACAAACACAGACCCAAAATAATATTTCTTGTTCACACAAAGAACTACCCTAATTGGGTATTTACCTCAAATAAATTCCTTTAAGATTTCAATACAATTAAATTTTCGAAACTATTGGTACTTCACTGACATAGGTATTTAACGATATGAACTTAATTTTAGATATTTATTGGTAACATTTTAAGTAAAATACTCAAAAAATATAGTATGGAATTTGACAAATACCATATTAAAGCAAAACTTGAAAGGCTAACACTAATTGCACAGCAAATGCTCACTCAACCACTGCACAATCATCTTTCATAGATAAACCTACCTTACATACAGATACATAAGGTGTAACTTACCTATTGAAGAGTCACCAACAACTGCTCGTTCAGTCCTTTCTGATTTCTCAGGCTTTTCTTTCTCCACTTTTTCTGTTTTCTCCGGTTTGGGCTTAGGTGCTTTCCTCTGCTCAGCTTTTTTCACCTTTTCACCAAGAGAAGGACCTGCTGCAGCACCGGCTTTTTTCCTTCTGTTTGGATCCTAAAAAGCGTTACACTTGGATGACAGATAATAATTATGCATGATGTCTTTAATAGACTATTTTTTCTTGTGAAGGAATAAAATACAAAAGAAAAACGAATCTTTCCAAAATAGGAAACTTATTAACTCAGATGTGCTTTTAAAAAGTATAAAAAAGTTGTTATGCTAGTCTTATTTTGTGATAAAAACCACTGTTAACTTCAAAATTAATAAAATTAACATGTTTAATGATATATTAATATATAGTTTAAAACTATATGTGAAATTGAAAATTATGCACTTATGGAAATCTAGAATGTACCAGTAGAACGCCTTCATCACTCATATAGTTTGTGCATTTAAATACAGCAATTACAAAATAGCTATTTAAGTTGTTATAAACATTACCTTGTAGACTTTAGTGCCACTTTTCCTTGTCCGTTTCTCATCTGCCTCTTCGTCCGACTTAGGTTCATCATTTTCATCGATACTAAAATCTGAGTCCACTTCATCATCTACTTCTTTCTCTTGTCTGTAAACATAAAACAATAATTAAAAAGGAACCAGGACCGCTGTTTCGTTTACATTTTAACAATGGGCAGTAATAAATATATACAAAATGGTAGAATTAAAACAAAGATAAAATTCATGAATATTAAGCTGAGATAGATAATTGCAATATGTTTAGATTACTTATCATAATTTTAAATTTCTTAGCAAAGAAAATTAAATGAGCTACTTACTCAAGCTAACTTAGATAGCTTGTGTACCTGCTAATTTCATATCATGACTATGAGATACAGAAACTAAATGCCTAGGTCCATATTGGACCATCATTAACTGCAATAATACAATTTATTAATTATAAAAATAAAAAAAAGTCGTCTGCCGGTACACAGTACTCAATATTTGTACACTATTACAATACTACCTATTATGCATAAAACACAAGTTTTAACAATGTTGACAACAAATTGTGGTTATGCAGTGAGGTTTATAAAATCCTAATATGCTAAGGTTAAATTTAGGATTATCGTATAATAAATTAAAACATTAAAAACGTGAACTTACTTGTAATCAACGTCTTCCTCAGTTTCTTGGAATCCACCGTAAGTTGTCGCATAGAATTCATCTTCTTCCTCCTCATCAAGCACTTTCGCTAGCAAATTGCCCGCATTAGACCGACGTTCTCTTTTATCCATTTTAAATAACTAGGAGTCAATGTTTTGTTTCAAGAAATTGGCGATTAGCGATATTATGTATTTTGGAAAAATAATGATCACAAACACAAGCAACACGCCAGAAGAACGTCCACAGACTAAACAACAAATCTGTAACGTCTAAATGACATTGACAGCTGTCATCGATTCGATGTCTAATCTGTAATTATTTCTGAAAATCGATTCAAACACGATTTTTTTGATCTTATAATTTTAATAAGAACCTTGATATTTTTATTCATCTTTTTCTTCGCCATTCCCAAAAAGGGAATAGCCGCTGAGCGTCTGATCTCCGTTGACAAATAATTCAAAGAGTAATAAGTATAAGTAAAGACGGAAAGTTAACTGCACGCATCCGTCGGTTATAGATAGTGGCCAGGTGCAGGCTTTTGCACGAAGAGGATCATTGTTTTTGCAGTTTGCCAACAGAAGTCATTTTTTATCGGATAACGAGATTCGTTACATGTAACCAAGCTCTAGGTAATACAAACCGGTTAAACTTTATATGAGCCAAGAAGAACCAAGTGAACTTGTGGCTCTACGCCGGTAACCGCTCATGCCTTGTCACCTCTTGCGAATGACTCAATCAATCAAATGTATTTTAAACAATTACATTTTTTGAGCAATTCAGCATTTTAGGTAATTCCTATTTCTTTGCGACACTGAAAACTTACTTTAAAAACTTCCTTGTCTGAGTACGGCCGACGTATCTTGGCGAGTCTGAAGTTAGACATTTTTTTCCTTTGATAGCGCGGCAAACGAGTATTGGTACGAGTTACCTGATGGTAAACAATCGGTGTCGCCCATGGACACAAAGGATTTACGAGTTCGTTGCCGGTCTTTTTGGAGATTTGGTTTTTTTCACCCCCGATTTCAGTGAGGCCGTGGTATCACTTCTGTCGAACCTGACTTTTTGAGTACCTATTGTTATTTCGGGTTGTCTAATAAATTATTTATGGAAACAAAACATCTTTGGCGATTTGAAAGTCATTCCTATTTCCCATTGATTATTGAGGATGAAGCAAGTGCATAACCTTTTAAGCACCAGAGCAAAAACACATGAACCTGGCCTCAACGCCAAGTCAATTCCGCGCAAGAAAAATATTTATAGCGGATAACGTTTCCGAACGTCTCCTTAGCCCTGGTCGTAAGCGGTCCAATAGGGGCAAGCCGCCCGACCGCTATTCGCCAGCGCGATAGATTTTAAAATACGCGCCAAGTGGCGTTATGTTACTGGCCGCTGATTGGCCGGGGGATTATTAGAAGAGTTATGGCGGACTTTACAGTTTTGTGCGTGTCTCTTGTAATTTTTATATAGTTTTATTAAAGTTTATGCCGCGTAACAAGACTTTTCACTGTAACCGACCCACCCCGACTACATCCTGGCGCTCCAACGTGTGTTTAGTATAAAACAAGGGGTCAAAGTGTTATAGTTCGCGGATCAAACTTTTTTCGTTCGTTGCAAGTTCGTTCATGTCGAAAAGTTAGGTATAAAACGACCGACAAGTGCTAAAAACTGTGTATGGACAGTGACTTTGCTATTGTTTTGTGTCTACGAGTGGTTTTTGCTGGTTGGTACAACCACGAGCCGTACCTTTGTTACTTTCGTCGAAAAGTAGGTACATTTTGGTTTGCAAAATGCCGCGAAGACGCAAGTCGTTGCGTACTGACGCCGACGAGTCTGGACACGAGTACTCCGAACCAGAACAGTCAAGCAACATTACGATGCCACAAGACGTCCTTGCCAAGCTGTTGACATCAATCCAACAATCGCAAGCAGAGTTTTGTCAACAACTTTTACGCGAAGTTCGTTCGTCGACGCCATTGCTTTCGTCAGCCGACGCAAGTACATCCATCGCCACCGCCAACGCCGCTGCGGCTATTATGAAGTCCACGGCAAATTTTTCGAAATGCACTTCAAAGTTTAGTGGCAGTCCGGAGGAATCCGTTGACAACTTTATAGATGCAATCGAGGTTTACAAGTCATGCCTAAACATAAGCGACGAGAACGCTCTCTTAGGTATGTCGATGCTGCTCACTTCATCGGCGGGAACATGGTGGCAAGGTGTTAAGGGCACGACAAAAACGTGGGAAGAAGCCATCACGCGATTACGAAGTGCGTATGGCGAGCGTCGCCCACCATTTCGCATTTATATCGAACTGTTTTCACAGATACAGGGCACTGAAAACACGGATTTGTTTATATCAAAAGTTCGTGCCTTGTTCGCGAAGTTACCACAAGGAGATTTATGCGAACGCGTCGAGTTGGACATGGCTTACGGATTATTGGATCGTCGTATCAGGAAGCGCGTCGACAGAGCTACGGTTACAACGTTCGAGGAATTGTTGAAAAAGGCACGCGCCGTAGAAGACTCCTTAAAGGAGTCACAAAACGGTCGCCCTTGTCTTAAGCCGTCGTCTCATAGTGAAGATAGGTCAAACGTCGCCGCCTCGGCCGAGCCAGCGCGAGTTCGTACCTACACGTCGAGTACTGCTTCCCGGTCGTCCGCTGTTGTCGCTTCTGGTCGCATGGGCGATTCAGCGACCGAAAAAACAGGGACCACCAAGGTATTCTGTGTTTACTGCAAACGTAGCGGTCACACAAAGGAAACGTGCGAGAAATTAGTGAAGAATAGTGACCAAAATAAATCTAAAAGTGATTTTAAAAAAGACATTAAGTGTTACGGTTGTGGTGCCGCGAATATAATAAAGTCAAAGTGTCCGAAGTGTAATGCCAATAATGTGAAAAACAATGGACATTCAGCATTTTATTCGCTTACTTCTGCACGTGATTCTCGTGCACCCACCGATTGCTTCAGGTCGCACCGTACGCCGCGCGTACGTAGCGACGTACGCTCCGGCTCCGACGGCAGCGCGCCGCGACCGCACCATGCGCCTACCCCGCTACCGCGAAGTAGCGTGATGTTTGGCGGTACAGCGGGCGCGCCTACGTGTCCGAGCGTCGAGCGACACGCGTCGTCGCTGCACAGTGTTCGAGGTAACCCCGCAGCCGTGCGAGGCGCAGGGATTTGTGTCACTAATTCTCGTACTGATTGTAATAGTTTTAATGAAAATTCTTTTTGTATTGATAATCGAAATCGTTCTGTATTACGTAAAAATTGTATTCGTCTTTGTACTAAAACTAATGTGTGTGTTTGTACTAAGAATGTAAAATGTGTTTGTACCAAGAATGTAAAATGTGTTTGTACTAAGAATTTAAAATGTGTTTATACTGTTTGCGACCAGGGGGAGGCCGCGTTACCGTTGTATTCTAGTGTTAGTACGTCACGGTCGGTATCGTTTAATGGTTGTCAATCGCATCCTGGTATTCCCGACGGTTCAAAGTCTTGCGCTCGCGACTTTATGCCTGTTACCTGTGATTATAAACCATTTGATAACAATATCAGCGACTCTCAACATTTTTCACAAATCGCAAGCGGTAGTCAACCTTTTTCTGAGAATGTCAGTGCTTCTCAACATTTTCTTTCAAAGAACGATAATTGTCAACGTTTGTGCGGAATTGCCAGTGGTGGACAACCATTGAATGGTAATCGCGATTTTCGATCCTTTTTAAGGCCCGTGCTAAATATCAGTATTTTAGGGGAGAATGGTACCGCGTTATTAGATTCGGCAGCTAAAAGCTGTGTCGCTGGTCATACGCTATACGCTCTCCTAAAGGCCAAAGGTCATCCTATGTCCTCCGGTATGGAAAATGTAAAACTAGCGGATGGTGTACTTAGGTTAATGAATGTACTAACTACCGAAGTAAATGTTACTCTTGAAGGTAGAACCAGGCTCGTTCGTTTTTTAATTTTTCCGGAGTCTGATGATAATGAATCGCTTCTAGGTATTGATTTTTTGATAAATTTTAACATCTGTGTTGATTTTGGTAATTTTAAGTGGCATTTTTTTGACAGTGTAGAGCAGTTTGATCTTCCATTTGAAAAAGTTTTACATCAGGCTGATAGTGTGCCTGTTAGTAGTTTACTTAGGGATGAAGAAGCATCGCGGCTTAGCGACGCGCAGCGTGAGGTTCTCGCCCAGTTCCTTTCTGAAAATAAGGACGTTTTTGAGTTACGGGGTGAACCAACAGCTTTTGCCGAGCATGCCATTGACACTGGTGATCACGCTCCTGTCGCAGTCCCTCCGTATCGGCTTACTCCTGCTAAGAAAGCGATCATGCAGTCAGAGATCGAAAAGATGCTGGCTGATGATATAATTGAGGAGTGCGAATCAGCATGGGGGTCGCCAGCACTGTTAGTGCCCAAAAAGAACGGTCAGGTTCGTTTTTGCGTAGATTACAGAAAACTTAACGCAATTACAAAGACTGATGTGTATCCAATGCCGCTTATAGACGAGCTCGTGCAGTCTACGAAGCGAAATTGTATCATGAGTACGTTAGATATGCGTAGTGGGTTTTGGAATGTTTCGGTTAGAGAATGCGATCGAGATAAAACAGCATTTTTGACTCCGTTTGGTACATACCGTTTCAAAAGGATGCCTTTTGGGCTCAAAAACGCTCCGTCAACGTTCCAACGACTTATAGATAGGTTGCGTTCTGGCGCCTCTCTAAAGGATGTGACCCTGTTATGCTACCAAGATGACCTCCTGGTTATATCAGAAGGATTCGATCAGCATATCGCCGATTTACGTGCTGTTTTTGAGAGGTTGCGTACGTTCAATCTTCGCGCCAATCGCGAAAAGTGTGTCTTCGCGCGCGAAGAAGTGAAATACTTGGGTCATGTCATAACTCAGGATGGTGTTCTGCCTGATCATGACAAAGTTCGCGCAGTGGCGGACATGAAGGCACCAAGTAATGTACGTCACCTTAGGACTTTCCTTCAGACCTGCTCGTGGTTCAGAAAGTTCATTTCGAACTTTTCAGACGTCGCTGAACCTTTAACTCGTCTTTTGAAGAAAAATCAGACTTGGGTATGGGGCGCTGAGCAAGATCAGGCGTTTCAGGAGCTTAAGAATCGCTTAACGTCTACGCCCATACTCATTCAGGCTGATTATAGCAAACCTTTTGTCTTGCGAACAGATGCAAGCAATTACGCTCTTGGTGCAGTACTGCTGCAAGGTGAGGGTAAGGACGAAAGGCCA